ACAAAAGGCCAAAAATGCAATGTGATGGGATATCAAGTTATTGAAGAACCCTAAATATGCATTTACGCGCTGGCCCCCGTGCACCCCCCGGCTCCCCCCCTCGCCGCGCTCGGGCTCTGCGGCTCCCGGGCGTGTGAGCTGCCGCTGGCGGGACACAGGGCCCTGGGCCTGCTCCGGGAGGGGCAGCGGCGGCTCACATGCCCAGGAGCCGCAGAACCCGAGCACGGTGAGGGGGGAACCGGGGAGTACACGGGGGCTGCCGCCCGCCTGCATCTGCTGCAGCCTGCAGGAGCCCCCCCCCGGGGGGGGTGCTGGGCCGCAGCCTGGGCAGGAGGGGCAGGGGGCGCGGCTGCTCCCCGCTAGCAGCACCGCCGCCTTTGCAGGGCTCGCCGCCCCCACAAGCCGACGGTCTGGCTCTCCGATGCTTCTGGAAGGTGGCTTCTCCCTGCCAAGCCAGGGCACCACTTTTTGTCACCCCCCCCAACCTCTTAGCGCCCTGGGCCACCACCTAGTTCACCTAGTGGTTGCACCAGCCCTGGGGAGAACGCTAGGTTGATTGGGATACCTGAAGCCAATCAGGGTCTGGCTGAAACTAGTTACAAGCCTCCCAGTTAGTCAGGTGGTCACATGTGTCAGGAGCTGTGGGAGGAAGTTGCGCTGTTGGAGAGGCTGAGCAGTACACACCGTATCAGGCACAAGGAAGGAGGCCCTGAGGTAAGGGTGAAGTGGAACTTGAGGAAGTGAGGGCTGCTGTGGGGAAGTAGCCCAGGGAATTGTACATGTCATGTTTCTAAAAAGTCAGCTACCATAGCTGATACTATTAGGGTCCCTGGGTAGAGGGCGGGCCCGGGCTCCCCCCCCCCTTTGCCCCTCTGATTAATCACTGAGACTGGGAGACAACAGAGACTGTGCAAGGGAGGATAGCTTCTCCTCACCTCCCTCGCTGGCTTATGATGAAAATGGCTCAGTAGACTGTGGCCCTTGTCTCCAGAGAGAGAACGGCTAGGTGGAGGGTCACAGTGAGCCTCTGAGGCTAGCGAAATCTGCTAGGAAACGCGGGGCTCACGGAAGCAAGGACAGAGATTTGTCACAACAGATACACCTCCCCTACCCACGATGGCCTTTAAGCATCTCACTAATGTTTGTTATGAGGGTAAACCTACTTCCAGTGGTGCTGGAACTAAGGGTGCTGCCATGGCTCCCAGGTTGGAGCAGTAATAACAAACGCCAAATACATGATTTCCATCAGCAGCACCCCCCTCCCACTATAAAAATTGTTCCAGCTCTCCCGCCTACCTCCCTGCAATCTACAGGAAGGAAAGTAACAGGAGAAACTGTTCTCCTTTTCTTTCAGGAACTGAAACTGGCTAATAATAATAGTGGGATGTGAAGGCTTTAAATAATCTCATGGATGGTTCCTGGGACCCACATGTGACATTCTATAGCTTGGGGGAGCATCCTGTAACCCCCATATTCCTCATTTTTATATAATTGTGATCTTACATATAAAGCATGCCTTGTAAGGTTTCAGGGGAGAGGTTACGATCTGCTGAAAGTCGTGTCTCTATCCATAGATGTGTATCATTAATGCATATGAAGTTATGAGAATTATGTTGTATGGTTGTCACTAAAACATGCTGTAAGTTGGGGAATCCACCAGATATTTGCTCCCCAGAGTCAACAGCAAGGAAAGTAACCAACACCCCGGGCGGGGTGTCAAACAACCCATCAACAGCTATTGTCCAGCAAGGGAGCTACAATTCAATGACTCACCTGCATGAGGCCACACCAAGAGAACTGCTCAATCTTGCCTGGAGACTCAGCAATGCCCCCCAGACACGTCTGGACTTGTGCTCCCCAAGCACATGGCCTTTCTCCTTCACCCACCTATGCTGCAAGCAACAAGGACTCTCTGAAGCCTCCAAATGAGGGGACTGGCCCAGATTTCAAGAGTAAAATCTGTGTACTATCAACTGCAATATCCAGTGGGGTGAGAAAACCTGCTTAATCTAGATGTTGCCCAGTCTAACAGGGTTGAGAGTTTAGACTGCATGCTTATATTTTCTTTTCTTTTCTTTTAGTAACTAACTCTGACCTTTTTGCCTATAACTGTTGCCTTTCCTGCTGGAGTAGGAAGTTGTTCTGGGGCTCGGGACTGACTGTACAGCTTATAGAAAGGGAAACAAAGACCCTGTGCCCCATCTCGATTTCATGCCAGCCCCTTTAGGCCGCTCTAGCAGCATAAAGTGGGCAGATATGCCCCCCCCTTGTAAACGTCCCGTGGGCAGGGGGCCTCGCTAGCTGGTGTAGGGGTCCTGCATCCCCCTGTCCCCAGAGTAGAGAGCAAATCAGGGGCATGACCAGAGTACACTGTACTACAGCTCTTCCCTGCTCCCCAGGAGGCTATAGGTTGCAGCATAAGTTAGAACAGCCTCGAGGCTGCTCTAACTTACACAGAGGGCTGGGCAGACTTCTGAATGGCCCCAGAATGGAAGGAACACAACATTTCTTCTGACTTAGCTGCTGTAGAGTCTCTCCCTACAAGCCCTACTCTGATATGGAATGACTCTCACTTCTGGATATGTCTGAAGTGGAGGTCATGGGGCCCAAGTGGGCCAGCCAGCCAGGGCTTTAGCACCTGACTGCCAGCGTTCCTGGCACTGACCTAGGCACTGTGTTCGCAGCACTATGCCTCAGAGGACATGAGGTAACACATCACAGTGGATCTCGTGCTCTGCTGCTAGGGGACAGCTGTGGGGACCAAGAACCCTGGTGAGGAGAACAATGGGGAGTTGTGGGGGGGAAGAGAAGAGTCTACATACTAGGAGTCCCCATCCGGCCAGCACTGCGAGGGTTAACACAGAATGCAGCACCAATCTCTCTGCTTTTCCCCTGCTGCTTTCTGCTGCCTTATCTCTCTGCCAGAGCTCAGCTCCCCTCCTTGGTTTCTTGCAGCAGCTCTTCTTATCGCCCTGGTGCAGGATGGTGGCACTTCTTGTGGAAGAAACTTCCCCTTTGAAGCCACAAGCTGGGGTTCCAAGAACTGCCCAGCAGGCCCACGTATGAGAACCAAGGAACCCCCGGGGGGCCCCTCACGGGGGCTCAGGGTATACCTACATTGCAACCAGGAGGTGTGACCACTGCACTTCTAGGCATATCTGAGCCAACGGTCGAGTCGTGCCGGAACGCTCCGCCACACCGTTCCAGCACTTCCCTGGCATCTTGCGATGCTTCCAGTACTTACATTCCAGCGCAGCTTGAGCGCTGCATCACCCCCTGATCGGGTGATGACCCCCTTTATCTAGCGAGATCACGGCTAGCTGGAGTATTAATAGCAGTGAAGTCCCAGTAGCACGGGGCAGCGGCTGCTCAAACATGTGCCCTGGGTCCTGGGCTAGCAGCAGGCGGCCAGCTGCTCCTCGAGCTAGCTAGACATGTCTGCTGTACGTCGGCTCCTGCTGCAGTCCCACACCCCCAGCTGCAGCATAGATATACCCTAAGGTGCGTCTCTCCCCCCACCCATTGGACTGTAATGTGCCAGGATCTCTGCTGGGTCCCTAAGCTAGAGGGAAAGGACCTGGGCAGAACTAATAACACTTCACCCTTATACAGTTCTTTTCATCAGTAGATCTCAAAGCTCGTAGAGGGCCCCCAGCTGCCCAGTTCAGAAGCTTGCTAGTAGCAGGTGACATAATCCACCCCAGCCCAGGGAAGGTATAACAGGGTTCCTGGAGGATAGGGCCCTCGCTGGCTGTTAGCCAAGACAGCTAAGCCTCCGACGGCCAGAAGCTGGGACTGGATGACAGGGGATGGATCACTCGCTAATTGCCCGGTTCCGTTCATTCCCTAGTTAGCGTCTGGCACTGGCTGCGGTCAGAGACAGGGTGCTGAGCGAGATGGACCATTGCTCTGACCCACGATGACCGTTCTTGAGACAATCACCTCCGGAGGTGGAGAGGGGGCTGGTGGCCACATGGGAGCCTGACAGCTGGCTGTGGAGCTAAGGCTGTGCCCCGGGCAGCCTGACGGCTGGGGCTGAAGGGATCCAGGCACAGTCGCACCCTGGTGATGGCGGAGGGGCAAAGCAGCAGGGGCAGTTGCACATGTGGGGGTGCGCACTGGTCCCGACAAGACCATGGACAAAAGAACCGAGCTCCGGCTCATTGCCTCCAAAGGTGGGGGGCCCCAGGAGCGGAGCAGAGACAGGACTCTGGGCGGATGCCTATAAAGGGGGGTCCTATATTGAGGCTGCTGGATACAGACCCACTGGTTCCCTCAGGCACTCTAGCTCCCAGACTGTACTTCCTGATGTCACCATGAGGCATCTCTCCAAATCCTGGCTTGCATTAAGCAGTCATGGAGCAGGGAGTGCAGGCTATACCGAATTCATAGGACAGCACTACTGGGCATGCTAGACAGCGCCCCCTTGCTGTCAGGGAGCACTAGGGACTGCATTTAGACTGAGCATTGTGGGGACTCGGGACTTGGTTGCTTGTACCCCATTTCCAGCCACTAGAGGGAGAAACAATTTAGCCTGTATATTTTAGGGTGTCGAAACAAAACCACTCGAGGAGGCATTTAAAAAGACACCACAAAGTCATGCATTCAAAATCAAACTCCTTTTACACTATTGAAATGGCACAGACATGCAAAACCTGCTCAGATTTCAGGGGACTGAAGGATTGGGGGTGGGGGGGCGGGACACACAATAAATAAGGAGAAAGGGAATCTCGGAAAAGGAGCAGCGGACCAGGGCTGGACTAAGCTATAGTATAGTTACACTCCCTAGCTACTGGCCCAGGTCTAGGGAGTGTAACTTGTTCTAACCTCTAGACCCCACAGCCAGGGATAGAAGAACCCAGGAGTCCTGACTGCCAGCACCTGCAGCTGTAATCCTCACACCCCACTCCCCAGCCCACTGATTTAACCCCGGGATCAAACTCCAGCCTAGACAGCTGGGAGGTTGGTTTCGAAGTTCTGATCCTGCAAGCGCTTTAAAGAAGGCGGATTCAAGTTCTGCGATAAGCTCTTCCTTCTTCTGTGGCGTGACGGCACCTCCTGCCTCCCGGCCAGAACGTCAGCCCTGCAAGGAAAGAGAGACACCGGCATGGTTCCGGAGGGGAAAACACAAGCTCCCAGGAGAGTTTTGATATCAGGTGAGTGGGATCAAGCCTTCTGTGCCCTCGGATTTAACCCTGACTTCAAGCTCCTAGCATAGCAGATTTCCATGTCTATTGGTGTCACTGAGGCTTCCCCCAGTGCTCCTAAGTCCCTGAGGGCTGGTCTGCACCCAGCTTTTGTACCAATTTAGCGACATCAGTCCAGACACCATGTCTGCCCTGCACCGGGGAGTCCTGACTCCCAGCCCCCTTTGCTCTAACCACTAGACCCACCCCGCTTCCAGCACCCGGAACAGAACCCAGGAGTCCTGACTCCCAGTCCAGTGCTGTAACCCTGCCCGGATCTCGCCTGGATTCTGGATGCATCTGGTGAGGGTTCGGCAAAGATCGCAGGGACATTGGCTCTCTCACCGCTTTGCTGCTGGTGGCTAAAGTAGACATGGAGACGTCGGAAACGTGGGACTTGGGTTTGCAGGTGAACCATCTCTTGTACTCCTCCCTCACCTGGAGATGCAGAGACAGTCAGTGGTGCTGCACCACTAAGAAATGGGAGAAGACCTCTTCTCTCTATGCCTTATCTCCGTTTCTAACGTGCCCAGCACCTCAGCATCGGGGCATTATGCAGATGAATAAGAGCATCGTTTAATCCTCCCTGATAAAAGGGACCGGAGCCCCTGATGCTGTCATTGGGGCTTATTCACTGTTACCCATGCAGAGACTTATAGCTATTTATGTTCCCCCCTCATCTATGCCTTGGTACAAATTAGAGCAGCCTCAGGGCTGCTGTAACACTCTGCTTCCTGTGGCAGCAGAGAATACCCATAGTGCAGTGCACACTAGCTTTGCACCCAATCCACCCCCTGCTTTGGAGGCAGAGCCTTTAGAGGAGCTATGCATGGAAGGGGATTCTCAGGAGGCCTTTCCCCTCTACTTTAACAGCCCTTCAGGGTGCCAGACTGATTATTTTAGGGAAGTTCTCCAGGGAACTGAGAGGCTGAGTGACTTGCCCAAGGAGTCGACAGCATGGCATGGAATTGTGCCCAGGTCTCCTAAGGGCTAAGCTAGTACTTCAGCCTCTGGGCCATCTTTCCTCTCCAAACAAGGGGCTGCTCCATTGCTCTGCTACTGGGGGAAACCCTGGGCAAAAAGCTGGGGGTGGGGGGATCTTGCCCAGCAGAATCAGTAAAGCATCGTTAGCCCGCCCTGCTCACTGCTGGCAGGGGGTCTGATGAGTCCATCAGGGCACGAAGGGCCCTGGGCGGTACCTGGCGATTGAGGAGACAGTGCACCAGGAAGATGAAGGCTCCCTGCAGGCTGTTGACGATGGTGAATAAATACGCCATGACAGTGGCAGCTGGGCCGACTTGAAGGATACCGAAAATCCACGTGCAGCCCAGAATGAAGACTTGGGCGATGGCTTTAAAGGTCAGTAGCCTGGAGAAAGGCAGACGGAGACATCCCGTGATGACAGCCCTCTGGAGGGCGGCTGAGTCAGGGGGGTCCGGGCCAAAAGGGCGAATGCTTCCAGGTAGCCACGCTCCATCTACAAGCATGAGAGCGGCTGGCCCAGAGTCTTCGAAAGGTAGACGCACAAGCTGCTATAGCCTGCACTAAAGACCCAAGCCTCGCTAAGAGGGGCTGGGACGGATTCAGATCCTGTGGGATCGGACAAAAGGAGCCCTGTGACACACCCACCAGCGCTCGCTGCAGGCACATATAAGCACAGAGGGATCTTTGCTTCTATGTGACCAGGCTTTCGGGGTGACTATCCCATCCGGGTCCCCTTTGCAGAGGAAGGTGTCCGTGGTGGGTACACAGCATGGAGCAGAGCAGGTTTGTAAACCCAAGGTGTCAGAGACGGGGGAAAGCCCCACAGGGAGCAGATCTCAGCTGGTTCAAATCGGCAGATCCCATAAAGAGACACCAGCTGAGCATCTGTCCATCCAGGCTTCGTAACAGCGTCACCCTCTGTCCTGCAATCTAGCACCTTGGCCACTCCACGGCTGAGGGACACAAACAATGGGGCATCCAAGGACTGCTCTTGGGGGGCCATCAGCCAGACTGAGGATCTCCAAGGGTTGTCCCAGCATTCAGGGAGGCTCACAACTCCCACTTCAGGGAGGCCAGTATCAGCTCAGTTTTAAAAGAGAGGGAAACTGAGGCACAGTGACTTGCCCAAAGTTACACTGCCAGTAGCAAAGCTGGGAATGGAACCCAGGAGTCCTGACTCCCACCCTCCCCCCTACCACCACTGAATGATACTTTTCAGCTCTGCTTTTAAACCAACATTACCTGGTGTCCTTGAGGGTGGACACATCAGTGTTGAGCCTGGAAAGCTTTCTCTGCAGCATCCAGAGGGTTAAGGCAAAAAGGACGGAATTAATCTAGAATCAAAGTAGAGAGGTGGCAAAATTTGCAGATACAAAATTGCTCAAGATAGTTAAGTCCCAGGCGGACTGCGAAGAGCTACAAAAGGATCTCTCAAACCCAGGTGACTGGGCAACAAAAGGCCTCAATGTTGATAAATGCAAAGTAATACACACAGGAAAACAGAACCCTAACTATACATATAAAATGATGGGGTCTAAATTGGCTGTTCCCACTCAAGAATGAGATCTTGGAGTCACTGTGGCTGGTTCTCTAAAAATATCCACTCAATGTGCAGCAGCCGTCAAAAAAGCAAACAGAATATTGCAAATCACGAAGGAAGGGATGATAATAAGACAGACAATATCATATTGCTTCTGTATAAATCCATGGTACGCCCGCATCTTGAATACTGCGTGCAGATGTGGTCGCCCCGTCTCAAAAAAGATATATTGGAATTGGAAAAGGTTCAGAAAAGGGCAACAAAAATGATTAGGGGTCTGGAACGGCTGCCATATGAACAGAGATTAATAAGACTGGGACTTTTCAGCGTGGCCTCGCCTACACTGGGGGGGGGAATCGATCTAAGTTACGCAACTTCAGCTACGTGAATAACGTAGCTGAAGTCAACATACTTAGATCTACTCTCCGCGGAGTCTTCACCGCAGTGAGTCGACTGCTGATGCTCCCCCGTCAACTCCGCCTGCACCTCTCGCTCCGATGGAGTATAGGAATTGACGGGAGAGCGCTCAGGAGTCCATTTATCGTGTCTAGACTAGACGTAATAAATCGACCCCCGCTGGATTGATCGCTGCCTGCCAATCTGGCGGGTAGTATAGACATACTCTTAGAAAAGAGATAACTAAGGAGGGCTATGATAGAGATCTATAAAATCATGACTGATATGAAGAAAGTAAATAAGGAAGTGTTATTTACTCCTTCTCATAACACAAGAACTAGGGGGTCACCAAGTGAAATTAATAGGCAGCAGGTTTAAAACAAACAAAAGGAAGTATTTTTTCACACAACGCACAGTCAACCTGTGGAACTCCTTGCCAGAGGATGTTGTGAAGGCCAAGACTATAACAGGATTCAAAAAAGAGCTAGATAAGTTCATGGAAGATAGGTCCATCAATGGCTATTAGCCAGGATGGTGTCCCTAACCTCTGTTTGCCAGAAGCTGGGAATGGCGACAGGGATGGATCACTTGATGATTACCTGTTCTGTTCATTCCCTTTGGAGCACCTGGCATTGGCCACTGTCAGAAGACAGGATACTGGGATAGATGAACTTTTGGTCTGACCCAGTATGGCTGTTCTTATCATAGAATATTAGGGTTTGAAGAGACCTCAGGAGGTCATCTAGTCCAACCCCCTGCTCAAAGCAGGACCAACCCCAACTAAATCATCCCAGCCAGGGCTTTGTCAAGCCTGACCTTAAAAACTTCTATGGATGGAGATTCCACCACCTCCCTAGGTAACCCATTCCAGTGCTTCACCACCCTCCTAGTGAAATAGCGTTTCTTAATATCCAGCCTAGACCTCCCCCACTGCAACTTGAGACCATTACTCCTCGTTTTGTCATCTGCTACCACTGAGAACAGTTGAGCTCCATATTCTTTGGAACCCCGTTTTGGGTAGTTGAAGGTTGCTATCAGATTCCCCCTCACTCTTCTCTTCCGCAGACTAAACAAGCCCAGTTCCCTCAGCCTCTCCTCGTAAGTCATGTGCCCCAGCCCCCTGATCATTTTCGTTGCCCTCTGCTGGACTCTCTCCAATTTGTCCACATCCTTTTTTAGTGGGGGACCCAAAACTGGACGCATTACTCCAGGTGTGGCCTCACCAGAGCTGAATAGAGGGGAATAAGCGCTTCCCTCCATCTGCTGGCACTGCTCCTACTAATACAGCCCAACATGCTGTTAGCCTTCTTGGCAACGAGCGCACACTGCTGACTCATATCCAGCTTCTCGTCCTCTGTAATCCCCAGGTCCTTTTCTGCAGAACTGCTGCCTAGCCAGTCGGTCCCCAGCCTGTAGCAGTGCATGGGATTCTTCCTTCCTCAGTGCAGGATTTTGCACTTGTCCTTGTTGAACCTCATTAGATTTCTTTTGGCCCAATCCTCCAATTTGTCTAGGTCACTCCATAGGCGCCGACTCCGCGGTTGCTCCGGGGCTGGAGCACTCATGGGGGAAAATTAGTGGGTGCTCTTCATTCACCGACAGCCAAGCTCCCCTCCCCACCTCACCCCACCTCCTCCTCCGCCTCCTCCCCTGAGAGGGCTGTGTCCCCGCTCCTCCGCCTACCTCCCAGGGCTTGGCTTGCTGCTGCCAAACAGCTGTTTGGCGGCGTAGCAAGCTCCGGGAGTGAGGGGGGAGGAGTGGGAACATGGTGTGCTCATGGGTGAAGCTGGGGAAGAGGCGGGGCAGGGGCAGGGATTTGGGGAGGAAGTCGGAATAGGGGCAGGGAGAGGACGGAGTTGGGGCGGGGACTTTGGGGAAGGGGTTGGAATGGGGGGGCAGGGGTGGAGTTCGGGCGGGGCAGGGGGCAGAGTGGGGTCGAGCGTCCACCGGCGTGAGTAGAAGTCGGCGCCTATGGGTCACTCTGGACCCTACCCCTACCCTCCAGCGTATCTACCTCTCCCCTCCAGCTTAGTGTCATCTGCGATCTTGCTGAGGGTGCAATCCACACCATCCTTCAGATCATTAATAAACTTCTGTTTGTCTGTTCTTCGGTCACAGACCCTGATTTGCCTCCGGCTCTGGGGAAGGGATGTGCCGGGCAGCTGCAGGGTCTTGACATGAGCAGAAGCAGAAATTGTTGCCATCCAAAGCAAGCGTATTGCTGTTCGGTATGATTATTCGGCCAGATCCCCGGCTGGTGCAAATCAGCATTGCTCCATTGAAATCACCCGAGCAACACTGATTTACACCAGGTGAGGATCTGGCCCCATGGTCTGAAGTCCCAACGTGATGCCTACGGCATTGCACAAACTGGCTTTCGCAGGGTGGATCTGGTGGGTCTTATCATCCCATTCCCCGAGTGGGCCAAAATCCTCCTTGGCATATACTCCTTCGAGGTCCGTAGCACTACACCAGGGGATGAATTGGGCCCACAGTGCTTAGCCAGAGCCAAGGGAAGCCAGGCAGAGCTCCAGACTTCACCGTGCTGCGGGAGGCGGCAGGGTCAAGCCGCAGTGGATACGTACCCCGATGATGACACACACCGGTCCCAGGAAACTCCAGATGAACCCCTTCTCCATGCTGAGCCAGCAGCTACAAGAACAAAAGGTTAACGTGAGGTTCACTGAACAGTAGCAGCCTGGTGCAGCGATTCCCCTTGAGATTAGTGCTACCCGAAGAGGCTCCCCCCGAGATTGGAGTCCCCTTGGGCACAGCTACGGAGTGAGGGGCGGTCCCTGCCCTGCCCAGCACAATCTAAATCAGGGGCAGGCAAACTTTTTGGCCTGAGGGCCGCAATTTCTGAAATTGTATGGCGGGCCGGTTAGGGGAGGCTGTGCCTCCCCAAACAGCCAGGCATGGCCCGGCCCCCGCCCCCTATCCGACCCCCCCTGCTTCTCGCCCCCCACTGCTTCTCGCCCGGGGACCCCTGCCCTATCCACCCGCCCCTGCTCTCGGTCTCCTGACCGCCCCCGGATCCCTGTCCCTAACTGCCCCCTGGGGCCCTATCTAACCCCCCTCTCCTTCCTGACTGCCCCCCCCGGGACTCCTGCCCCATCCAACCACCCCTTTTCCCTGACTGCCCCGGACTCCCCCCCCCCCCCCCCCCCCCCCCCCCCCCCCCCCCCCCCCCCCCCCCCCCCCCCCCCCCGCCCCCCCCCCCCCCCCCCCCCCCCCCCTCCCCCCCCCCCCCCCCCCCCAACGCCCCAAGACTCTGCCCCATCCAACCACCCCTTTTCCCTGACTGCCCCTGGACACCTCGCCCCTACCTGCCCCCCCCACCCCATCCAACCCCCACTCTCCTTCCTGACTGCCCCACTGGGACCCCTGCCCACCCACCCACCCTGCTCTCGGTCCCCTGACCACCCCCCAGACAACTGCCCCCTGTGGCCCTATCCAACCCCCCTCTCCTTCCTGACTGCCCCCCCCCCGGGATCCCTGCGCCATCCACTCCCCCTGCTCCCTGTCCCCTGTCCGCCCCCCGCCACCCCATCCAATCCCTCCTCACCTTCCTGACTGCCTCCCCGGGGCTCCTGCCCCCATTCAACCCCCCTGTTCCCTGCCCTCTGACCGCTCTGACCCCTGTCCACGCCCCTGATCACCCCCCGAACTCCCCTGCCCTCTATCCAACCCCCCCCCCCGCTCCCTGCCCCCTTACCGCACTGCCTGGAGCACCGGTGGCTGGCAGCGCGGCTGCACCAGGACAGAGCACCGGGTCAGGCTGGGCTCTGCATCCCTGCCGCCCAGAGCATGGCGCAGCAAGGTGAGGCTGCGGGGGAGGGGGGACAGCAGGGGAAGGGGAGGGGGCTAGCCTCCCGGGCCAGGAGCTCAGGGGCCGGGCAGGAAGGTCCCGCGGGCCAGATGTGGCCCACGGGCCGTAGTTTGCCCACCTCTGTGCTAGAAACTGATTCATTCATTCATGAATGACAACAGCACAGCTGTTGAGGCAGATGCCCACTGGTCCAGAGCATCTTTCACTGAGGAGTGCTGGGACACACACACACACACACACACTGCTAGCGTAAGACAGGACCTACTCTCTTCACTCCCCTTTTTGTACTCACACAGCAAATTTGGCCTGCAGGTCTAACCACAGTACATCAAATTTCCTTAATGCAGAGAATGCCTTAGATTAGGACCGTCTACCTCTAGGGACTTATAAGGCCCCATCACTGTAGCATCCAACAATCTTTAATCGATTTTGCCTCCCAGCGCCCCGGTGCAGCAGGGCAGTGCCATTATCTTCATTTCACACCTGGGGAAACTGAGGCACAGAGTAGCGAATTGGCTTCCGCAGCACCCGGCCTGTAGTAGAGTTTGGACTTGAACCTGCATCTCCCCCTACCACATGTTCATGCCCTAACCACTGCAGCCTCCTGCCTGTCCTCCAGGAGGCCCCTCATTTCACCCCACTGCGGCGCTTGGCCGTGGAAGGGCGCAGCGAGCGATTGCAAAGGGCCGCGGTCGCAAAGGGCCAGTTCCCCAGCTCGGGCGCTCACTTTTCCTGCCTGCCGTAGCCCTGGGGCATAACCGCCGCCGAGACAGCCACCACCAGGGTGGGGAAGCCGTAGCCGAAGAGGCTTAGGTGCCACATCTTGGGGCTGTGGGTGCTGAAATAGTTGACGACCCCGAGGTTGCGGATGGTGAGGAAGAGCACCACGGCCTCCAGGAACATCCAGGCGAAGCAGGCCAGGAACAGGTAGTGCAGGAGGCCGGCGATGATGGCGCACGCCAGCTGGGGAGGGAAGAACGCCCGCGTGAGCGCAGGGATCTGCTTCTGCGGGGTTCCCCAGGCCAGGCCGGCATTTAGGGCGACCCCTAGTGGCAACACTGTGCAGAACAGGGCGGGAGCTGGCGAGCCGGAGAGAACCACGGGGTCTGTGTCCAGCTGCCCGGCTAAATAACGTTTGAGCATTGCCTCCACCCTACCCCCAGGGCACTGTAGCCACCACTATCTTCTGCCACACAAACCCTAGCTCGGGGGGGGGGGCGGGGGGGGCATTTCAAAGAGCCCACTCGAGGTCTGGGGCCTTCAGCCTGCATTAAACAGGACTTCTCGAGGTCCCTTCTAGTCCTATGATTCTTTTATTTCACAGCCTCTAATGAGCATCCCTGGGCTTGGTGCCCCTGCATCAAACACACCCCTGGGAATTACCATTGTAAGAAGGGGTTCTCCCCTAGGATCTCATTTCTGTCCTAAAGGCCACCGCTAGCTGCATACCCAATGATCACTCACTCTTCAAAGTAGGTCAGCATCATTACCCCATTTTACAGATAGGGAAACTGAGGCACAGGACAGTGCTTTGCCCAGCATCACCACCAGGTTAAGGACAGAGCCAGGACTTACATCCAGGACTAGAACCCAGGTCACCAGAGTTCCCACCCAGTGCTCTATCTACCAGGCCACTCTGCCTGCCACGTAAGGCACCCTGCGAGGGGGAGGGAGTGCTTTACCTGATGGCTGGGACTGTCCACCGCGGTGAGGAAGAGCAGGTCGGCCAGGAAGAGGCAGAGGCAGAGCTGCAGGTGGATGGAGGTGTTCACGTTGCGGATGGAGCGGCTCAAGAGGAAGGTGAGGATGGTGAGGAAGAGGCACAGCAGGGAGAGGGCCAGCCCGACGTGGGAGACGAGGAACAGTGGGAAGCCTGCCTATCGGGGAGGCGGGGCAGATGGCTCGTTAGGAGGCCACGCATCATCCCACGCGGGGCAGTTAATGCAGCTGGGGCTTTGCGGAGGGACCATGGAATGGGGAACCACCTGCGATCGGCCCATGATGCCCACCTCCAGTGCTCACCCCAGCCCCTTTGTGCTTTCTCCAGCGCTGCCCCCCACCCCCACGCCGGGGAGGGGCTCCTCGTAAACGTCCCCAGAACTACCTCCTTGTCCTCCTTCAATCTCTCCTTGGCTGAGAGGGTGCCTGACGTCCCCCAGCAAAGCCCGCAGCCTCGGTCCCATTACCGTTATCTCCCCCGATGCCATGAGGACGGCCAGGTTGGAGACGCGATTGCAGCTGCACGTGGTGTGAGTGGCATTGCTGTGCAGGACCCCGCACCCTGCCCGAGACCAGCTGCCACGCCAGGCCGTGGCCTCCCACGAGACGCAGATGAGCTGGTCAGGGCTGCTGCTTGGCTGCAAAAAAAAAAAAAAGGGAGGGGGGGAAGGTGGAAGGAATAACGCAGGATGGAAAAAACGTGATACCAGGGGAGCGGGTCAGGCACTCCAAGAGAGCGCTTGAGAGGCAGACTAACAGAGGCCGTGTGGGCCAGTGGACGGGGTGGAACTCAGGAGACCTGAGTTTTAGTCCTGACTCTGCCACTGGCCTGCTGTGTGACCTTGACTGAATCACTCGCCTGCTCTGTGCCTCAGTTTCCCCTCCCACCCTTTGTCTAGACAGACTAAGCGCTTGGCATCAAGGGCTCTCTCACACGATGAGCCGCTCCTGCCAGAAGGGGGCGCTCATTTCAGCCTGTGCATTAGCACAAATACTGAACAGTAGGGCAGAGGGTTAACAAGACTCTCCATCGCCCCCCACAGAGAGTGGGCCAGAGAACACATATGGGGTGGTTCTGAAGGGCTCCCAGACTCTGCGTCTGCCTTAATGAAGCAAAAGCAAATCTATCCCTGCTCCTAGTATTAACGCCTAGCTCTTCAGTGCTTTCCATCCATCTAACAAGGCGCTTTACAAAGAAGGTCACTATCATTACCCCCATTTGACATATGGGGAAACTGAGGCACTGAGCGAGGGAAAATATCAAGGTCACCCAGCAGGCCAGTAGCAGAACCAGGAGTAGAACCTAGATCTCTCACTAGTGCTCCATCCACTAGGCCACACTGTCTCCCCTGTTTTCCTCTTTGCTCTCTTCCCCTGCCTCCCAGCCCTAGTGGTGGGAGATTTGACTCAGATAATGGAAGTGGCCTGTTAGCGGCTGAAGCAGAAATTCAGACTTTTGGATCATGAGTTCAATCCCCCCCTTCCCCCCAAAGGGAGCACCACACTTGGGGGACAACACAAGAATTCCTCCCCACCTGAGAGTTAATTCAATGCAGCATCCCCACCAGAGGAGCCAGGCTGCTCCTGAAAAGTCAGAATCAACCCCAGCAGCAGTTCACGGAGAGACATGCAGCCGGCCTTACCATGAGGTTCTGGAAGGTGTAGTTGGCTGGATCCGGGAAATCGGTCTTGGTCTGGCTGGTCAGGACGGCACTCACCACCCTGGAATTCATCCAGACTGAGGTGGCCCTTTGGCCATGGAAGAAGCTGCCATTCAGGATGGACTCCATGCCCATGTAGGAGGCAAACGCCACTCCAGCCCGGGCTGCAAGTATCCCCAAGGAGAAACCAGGTGAGTTAGCGGCTTTTTTACCCACATTCCACCGGGGGGCCCCTCAAAGCACTGTACAACTCCCCCATTTCAGGAGCTGGGTAATGTATTGCTTTAGACCCACACACGGATAAAAATGAGGCACAGAAAAGTAACACAACAGCACAGCAAACCTGCAGCAGCGCTGGGAAGAGAACCCAGGTGTCCGGATAGCCAGTGCAGCTCAGCTGGCACTGATGATAAGACAGAGGGGCTGTCCGTAAACTACAGAACACAACAGGGGGCAGAGGGCTCCTTAATGTTGTGTGTTTGTTTCAGTGTTATAAGGGGTGGGTGGATCTTGAAAATCCCCCCCAAATGTGTGACAGTTTTTGGAGAGCCCCTGAAGACGGTTTTCTCAAAACATCTCATATTAATAGAGCTAGTTGGAAAAGGGTTTTTTTCCCTGGTGAAAATCTTGAGTTTGGGCGGGGGGGATGGAAACCAAATTTTTGATTTGAAAATGCCACTGCAATGCCTCCTGGGAGTTGTGGTTCGGGTGCTTCGTGCTCCTGTTTCTCCTCTATGAGCCAGGCTCCCTGGTTGGACTGAATCTCCCATGATGCACCAGGGCAATCATCTAGCCACAGTGCATCATGGGAGACGAAGCCTGGCTGGAGACCCTAGCCTGTGGAGGGGAATGGGAGTATGAGGCTTCAGGGACACGATTTCAGAATCAAAATATTTTAGCTCTTCAGCCCAGAGCAGAAAATATTTCAGGTTTGAGGACATTTGGGGCAGCCAGTTTTTCAACATGTAATCTACATTTTCTGCAGAAATCAGCCACTTCATGAAGAATTGCATTTTCCGAGGACCCAGTTTTCCATTGAAGTACAGTGTAGATGGAACAGTTTTGACCAGCCCTCATTCTTAATTCTTCTAGTTCCCTTTATTCTAGTAAGCTTGACTAGGACAGAAGGAATTTATATTTGTAGGCGTAAGGACCCAGGAATTCCCATTCCATCACAGAGCCCTGTTCTGTGAGCCCTGTACCCCATACCCCAGCCACCCCAAATCACATAAATAGTGCATCTAATTCACTTTCTCATCTCTCTGTGTCAGCACAGACCAATGGTCCATCTAAGCTGGAATCTCCTGCCATTGCCAGTGATGCTTCCAGAGGTATAAAACCTCCTGTACTTTACCTGTGCAATACTGCCAGTTGGTGGTGAGGGCTGGGGGAGCCCATTCCCACCCCGAATGGGGCAGCTGAGAAGCAAGCCTGGGAAATCTGCCTCACACCCTCTGGTGGTGGTGATGTACCTTGTGCCACTGTTCCCTGGATCGTTCTGCAGCTAATCTTCATGGTCTCCCCTTTGACTTCCAGGCTGATGACTGAGTCCTTTCCGGGGCAGCCGTCCTCAATGACTTTGGTCTGGACATCTAAGGAGAGGGGGAAAGAGCATGGTCTGATACAGCACAATGGCTCCTCGGGCAGGGGCCATCACTTGCTCTGCAGAGCTGAGCCACGGGTGTGGCAGAGAGAGAAGGAAATGGAGAGACACGTCCAGCTGAAGGGAAGAGGCCCACAGGAAAGAGATGGGGAGGAAGTTTCATGGGGCCCTTGGACCAAGCCTCTCCCGAGGGGTTTAAGAACAAGGGGAGACTGGGGAGCTGTAGATGGGGGCAGGGGATGTGGCCTTGCTTGAGAATGGGAACTGCAGCTGCCGGCACACGCTGGCTGGAGTCCAAAGAGCTGGGACCTAGGGGTATGGCCTTGTGCTTCAGGCAGTCGCCTGGGACTCAGGAGATCCAAGCTGAATTCCCAGCTCTGCCACTGAATCCCTGTGTGACCCTGGGCAAGTCACTGCAGCTCCCTGCCTCAGTTTCCCACCTCTGTAAAATAGGGATATGAGCCTCCCTTTGTTTGTCTAAATTGTAAGTTCTTCGCGGCATGGACTGTCTCTCCGTCCGTGTCTGTGCAGCGCCTGGCACAACAGTGCCCCGGTCTCGGCTGGGGTTTCTAGGTGCTACCGTAATGTTCATAATAGGGAGGTCATGGAAAAATAGGTGATACCGTAATGTTCATAATACGGAGGCCATGAAAAAATAGGTGATACCGTAACATTCATAATAAGGAGACTATAGAGAAATTGAGCTAACTAGATATGGCACCTGCTGATTGGTCACCAGGCAGGCTCCATCCCTATTGGGCTGAGTCACGCTGCTTGTGATGTGCAGTGGCCACCTGTTCTGACCCCCCCGCCCCCAACCCAGCTTCCTACCCAGTTGTTCCATCTGGATGGTCTGGCTCCCCTTCCTGGTGGGGTTGGCGAAGGCAGCCAGCAGGACGCTCTCCACCCTCTGCAGGAAGACGGTGGCCATGGTAGAGAGCTGCTCCATGCTCAGGTTGGACCAGGAGGGCGTCTGCTCCAGGATGGAGGCAAATCCCGCAGCGGCTTTCTACGGGGGGGGGGGAGAGAGAGAGAGAGAGAGCTCTTATTGGCTGTGCTGCGTTACCCCAGCAACGGTCGGCCAATCTCCTAAGAGCTGCTGATGGGCACGCTCACAGCTGCCCTTCGTCCCACCTGCCCTGAGGTGCCACGTGTGCAGCATGCCCCCTCTAGTGGCTGGTCCATCAAGGTCTGAGACAGCTACAGGGCCGGGGTCCGCTCCATGGCCAACGGGAGGCTTTGAATGACTTCACTGGGCTTAAGCTCAGGCCTGCAGCCTGTTGGCTCAAGCACTAGCGGCTCGTGCCTCTAAAGCTGAGCTTCCCCGGTCCAGCCCTGCCACGAGCCGGCGTGGCACCGATTAGATCTCTCGACAGCAAGAGGTTGGTGAAGCAAGAGCCGGGCCTGGCAGGTGGGCAGCTCAGCTCCGTGCGGGACTGGTGGCATGAGCCCTTCTGGAGCTGCGTCAATGGCCTCTGGGGGTCATCCCTTCCCTCCCCAAAGAACTCACCGACTCAGGAGAAGCAAAAAACCCAGCTCAGAAAAGGTCGGAAATCAGAGGCCAGCTGTGCCTTTCGGAAGGCGGGAGCTGGCCCCAGTGCTGGCCGTCCTTAGCAGGGTGTCATTTTCCAGCCATCAGCCCTGTTCTCTTCCAGGGAATTCTAAGACCCACCCACCCCCAAGTTATAGGGCTCAGTGGGGTGGGGGTTCGGTGATGCAAGAGGGTCTAGAGCAGGGGTGGGACAGGTAGGGAAGGCTGTGCCCCCCAAACAGCCTGGCCCCTGCCCCTATTCACCCCCTCCCACTTCCCACCCCCTGACTGCCCCCCTCAGAACCCCTGACCTAACCAACCCCTCCCCCGCTCCTTGTCCCCTGACTCCCCCCTCCTGGGACCCCCGGCCCCAAACCGCGCCGCCCGGGATCCCACCCCCTATCCAACCCCCCTGCTCCCTATGCCCTGACTGCCCCCCGGACCCCCGACCCAACCCCCACACCGCTGCGCACACCGCCGCCCCTTTCCATGCCACTGAGAGCGGCAGGAGCTGGCAGCCCCACTGCCCACGCGGCAGCATGGCTGCAGGGGAGGGGGAACAGCGGGGGAGGGGCCGGGGGCGAGCCTCCCGGGCCAGGAGCTCAGGGGCCGGGCAGGACGGTCCCGTGGGCCCCCGCGGGCCGTAGTTTGCCCACCTCTGGTCCAGAGAGACTGAAAGCTGCAATAAAACATCCAGACTTCTCTTACCACCAGAGAGACGGTGGAGTTCTTCCTTTCGTAGGGGTCTCCCAAGACGCTGAAGGTGGAGGTCAATAAAGTGCAGAAGGCAGCCTGTGCAGAAGGAGGGGGCCGGAGCAGAAGGGAAAGCCCGTCGTACAACACCAAGTCAGTCGTACAGCAGGAAGTTTGGTCTTGTGGTCAAGGAATGGGGCTGGGACCCATGGGTTCAAATTGCAGCACAGTCAGGAAGTCATTTTATTTCTCACCATTTCCGTTCCCCACCTGTACAGTGGGGCCACTAATCCTGTCTTGTCCACTTCCATTGTAAGTCTTGGGGGCATGGACTGCTTCTTCCTATGTGTCCATGCAGCACCTGGCACAATGCGGACCCAGATCTTGGTCCGGGGAGGGGGAAGAGGTCTCTGCAGCACCCTGCTTGAAGCCAGGGTGCCACTGCAAAGTATTGTGGGTGGCAGGAAGGGACAAGGGAGATTTGGGGTTCCAGAGGTTCTACTGGTGGTACCGTGAGGATCGGGACTGGTGCTGCTAGGGTCGGGGGGGGGGGGAGTGGGCTGCGGGGAGCTATGGCTTCCTACACTGGGATTTTCCACCCACAAAAGATTTGAAGATTCTTGTCAATCTCCTGCAACCTGCACTTTGCTGCTGGTTCACTGGCAGGGATGAGGATGTTTTGCCCCATGGATTAAAATCCCCAGAGCCAGTAGCTTTGCTGTGGCCGTCGAGGGCCGCACTGCAGATGAAATTGAGCAACTCAACTACATGGCAGCACTCGTGCAAGGTTCCTGAAAGGTGCCCAGGAAGTGGCGAACGCCGGCTCCCTGCAAACTCAGGCCCATTTGAAGGCATCTCAAGGCAGGCACCCCCAAAACAATCACTCAGCCGCTTTAAAGAATTTCAGCCAGCGTCCCCCACACGGCCTTTGCCGTGAGGGTCCCTAGATCAGCGGGGCGTGTCAACTATGCTGGGATACGTACATCGTCTGGGGATGAGCCGGGAGCCACGTCCAGCCTTTGGTTGTGGCATTTCCTCACCGGATCGTTTGAAGCGACCTCTAGGAGGAAATGAACAAAAAAAAAGGGAAAAAAATCAAAGGCGCATGAAATCCCTGGGCGTCCCCATCCAGGATGCAAAGGGTTTAAAAATCCTGCTGGTAAAACCAGTGACTTCCAGGTCTAGCGGCTACTACCCAAGCAAGCCACACTGTTTGCTGACCCCAGATCTGGGTAAGAGGGAGATCCCTATTTTCACGCAGGATTCACATCCAGGAGTCTGGTCACACTTTTTCAAGGAGAAGTGGAGGGGGGGTGATGCCGCCTCCCACAAAACCCCTTGGCAACGATAGCCCAGTGGGTAGCACGTGCACCTGAGATACGGGACACGAGGGGTCAATTTCCCCCTCTCTGCCTGATGTACAACCCTGGGTCTCCCAATCTCCCCGGAGAGAGCTCCAGGGTCGCACTCCAGGGTGGGCAGCGGGAGCCGCTCAGACCCTCGCTCTCGTCTACGGGACGACCGGAGAGCCGGCCTCAGCCTCCCACCCCCAGAGATCCACCCACAGCCCCCCACGGGACGCTTACCTGTGCAGCTGAACGGGATGCCAGGCTGGCTGGGGGGGAGGTAGCCCGGGGGACACGTGCAGGCGTAACTGCCCAGGGTGTTGGTGCACACGGAGCTGGGCCCGCAGGGCGATGGGTCCCGGGAACATTCGTCAATATCTAGGGGAGGGAATCGACGTTGGACTGAGCGATGCTAGGACACCAGGGTTTTACTGCCCCAGGCCACCCACTCCCTGATCCAAAGCCCACTGGAGTCAGTGGGAATCTTTCCACCAGCCTCAGTGACCCCTTGGATCGATCGCTCTGCTCTGTGCCAGAAGCAGCACCCACCGTTGCACTGCGCTGCTGGCTTGGTGAAGCGCTGCTCCCCAGAACTGGATGCAAACCCGGTATTGCAGGTGCAGAAGTGGCTTCCTGGGGTGTTGGTGCAGGTGGCGGACGCAGGGCACGATGCCAGATCCAGACACTCGTCGACATCTGTGACAGGGGAAGGAGCTATGGGTCCAGCTCTGCACAACGGAGCCTTCCCTTGATGGGAGGAGCAGGGGGAAAGACGGCAGGTCCCAGCAGCTGGCATCGGAGGGGGCACCGTGCCAGGAATATGGTTCCCAACAGGTTTGCAAAATCCTGCCCATTCCCAAGAGGCAGCGGTGCTAGTGGCCTGAGAAGCGGGAGCCAGGATGCCTGGGTTCTCTCCTCAGCTTTGGGAGGAGAGTCAGGTTGGGTAGCTGGAGCAAGGAGGGGCGGAGGGAGGGGGAGTCAGGATTCACATCCAGGAGTCTGGTCACCCTTTTTCAAGGAGAAGTGGACGGGGGTGATACCGCCTCCCCCAAAATCCTTTGGAACCGATAGCCCAGTGCGTAGCGCACGCACCAGAGATACGGGACATGAAGGGTCAATTTCCACCTCTCTGCCTGATCTACAACCCTGGGTCTCCCAATCTCCCTGGAGACAGCCCTAACCACTAGGCTACACGGCTTGTATCTCTCAAGCTCTCCGGTTGGGGAACACAGTCATTGCAACCAGGGGCCTGGAACCTGGCTCTCCCCCTTGAGTATCTGGTCACAGCAGGTTGCCGGGCAGAGGCACCCAGGTCAGGTTCCTGTACCCACCATGGACTGGCTCCATCCCAGAGAGACACCAGAGACTGTTCCCCTTGGTGCTTTAACACACAGCCAGCGACAGCTGGTCCCGGCTCTGGCCAAGTACGTTATGCACGGGGCCACCAGGTGCTGAATATGATAATACAGTTTAGCCGTCACCTGTGAGCTGGACAGACACTCTCTGGCCCCAGGAATATCAATGTCCCCCTACAGAAGCCCACCCTGACTGGGCAGAGAAGCTGTTTCAAACCAGGGTGGGGGCTCAGATTTTGTCCTTCTCGGGGGCAAGGGCTAGGGCGAGGGGCCGGGGAAGGTTGCTTTGATGGTCACCTCTGCAGAGGGTTGTTCCGGGTACCCACGGCCCTGGCGTAGACCGACGGTGCCCTGGTGAGCACTGGCAGGTGTAGCTCCCAGGTGTGTTGAGGCAGGAGGCATTGGGCCCGCAGATTGCAGGGTTTCGGGCACATTCATCCACATCTACCAGGAGATAACTTGGAATTAGTCTGTGTGTTTATTACATGCATTATGGTACCACCTACAGGCCCCACTGCGCTAGGCGCTGCACAGTCAGAGAAGACCAAGTGCGGGAGGGGGACAGAGGCCAGGAGAGGGGCAGAGACTCCGTAGGTCAGGGCAGCGCCGGGACTGGATCTCCCGTCTCCTCATTCCCAGGCAGCCGCCCGACCCACTGAGCAAACCTTTTGAGCCAGCCGTGAAGACACAGCCAGCTTGCCCCAGCTCCCAGGGCTCTGGAGACAGTCACACTCCAGGGTGGGCAGCGGGAGCCGCTCAGACCCTCGCTCTCGTCTGTGGGACGACGGGAGAGCCGGCCTCAGCCTCCCACCCCCAGAGATCCACCCACAGCCCCCCACGGGACGCTTACCTGTGCAGCTGAACGGGATGCCAGGCTGGCTGGGGGGGAGGTAGCCTGGGGGACACGTGCAGGCGTAACTGCCCAGGGTGTTGGTGCACACGGAGCTGGGCCCGCAGGGCGATGGGTCCTGGGAACATTCGTCAATATCTAGGGGAGGGAATCCACGTTGGACCTGAGCGATGCTAGGACACCAGGCTTTTACTGCCCCAGGCCACCCACTCCCTGATCCAAAGCCCACTGGAGTCAGTGGGAATCTTTCCACCAGCCTCAGTGGCCCCTTGGATCGATCGCTCTGCTCTGTGCCAGAAGCAGCACCCACCGTTGCACTGCGCTGCTGGCTGGGTGAAGCGCTGCTCCCCAGAACTGGATGCAAACCCGGTATTGCAGGTGCAGAAGTGGCTTCCTGGGGTGTTGGTGCAGGTGGCGGACGCAGGGCACGATGCCAGATCCAGACACTCGTCGACATCTGTGACAGGGGAAGGAGCTATGGGTCCAGCTCTGCACAACGGAGCCTTCCCTTGATGGGAGGAACAGGGGGAAAGACGGCAGGTCCCAGCAGCTGGCATCGGAGGGGGCACCGTGCCAGGAATATGGTTCCCAACAGGTTTGCAAAATGCTGCCCATTCCCAAGAGGCAGCGGGTGCTAGTGGCCTGAGAAGCGGGAGCCAGGATGCCTGGGTTCTCTCCTCAGCTTTGGGAGGAGAGTCAGGTTGGGTAGCTGGAGCAAGGCGAGGCGGAGGGAGGGGGAGTCAGGATTCACATCCAGGAGTCTGGTCACCCTTTTTCAAGGAGAAGTGGACGGGGGTGATATCGCCTCCCCCAAAATCCTTTGGAACCGATAGCCCAGTGGGTAGCGCGCGCACCAGAGATACGGGACACGAAGGGTCAATATCCCCCTCTCTGCCTGATCTACAACCCTGGGTCTCCCAGTCTCCCCGGAGAGAACCCGAACCACTAGGCTACACGGCTGGTATCTCTCAAGCTCTCCGGTTGGGGAACACAGTCATTGCAACCAGGGGCCTGGAACCTGGCTCTCCCCCTTGAGTATCTGGTCACAGCAGGTTGCCAGGCAGAGGCACCCAGGTCAGGTTCCTGTACCCACCATGGACTGGCTCCATCCCAGAGAGACACCAGAGACTGTTCCCCTTGGTGCTTTAACACACAGCCAGAGAAAGCTGGTCCCGGCTCTGGCCAAGTACGTTATGCACGGGGCCACCCGGTGCTGAATATGATAATACAGTTTAGCCATCACCTGTGAGCTGGACAGACACTCTCTGGCCCCAGGAATATCTATGTCCCCCTAGAGAAGCCCACCCTGACTGGGCAGAGAAGCTGTTTCAAACCAGGGTGGGGGCTCAGATTTTGTCCTTCTCGGGGGCAAGGGCTAGGGTGAGAGGCCGGGAAGGTTGCTTGGATGGCCACCTGTGCAGAGGGTTGTTCCGGGTACCCACGGCCCTGGCGTAGACCGACGGTGCCCTGGTGAGCACTGGCAGGTGTAGCTCCCAGGTGTGTTGAGGCAGGAGGCATTGGGCCCGCAGATTGCAGGGTTTCGGGCACATTCATCCACATCTGCCAGGAGATAACTTGGAATTAGTCTGTGTGTTTATTACATGCATTACGGTACCACCTACAGGCCCCACTGCGCTAGGCGCTGCACAGTCCAACAAGACCAAGTGCGGGAGGGGGACAGAGGCCAGGAGAGGGGCAGAGACTCCGTAGGTCAGGGCAGCGCCGGGACTGGATCTCCCGTCTCCTCATTCCCAGGCAGCCGCCCGACCCACTGAGCAAACCTGTTGAGCCAGCAGTAAAGACACAGCCAGCTTGCCCCAGCTCCCAGGGCTCTGGAGACAGTCGCACTCCAGGGTGGGCAGCGGGAGCCGCTCAGACCCTCGCTCTCGTCTACGGGACGACCGGAGAGCCGGCCTCAGCCTCCCACCCCCAGAGATCCACCCACAGCCCCCCACGGGACGCTTACCTGTGCAGCTGAACGGGATGCCAGGCTGGCTGGGGGGGAGGTAGCCCGGGGGACACGTGCAGGCGTAACTGCCCAGGGTGTTGGTGCACACGGAGCTGGGCCCGCAGGGCGATGGGTCCCGGGAACATTCGTCAATATCTAGGGGAGGGAATCGACGTTGGACTGAGCGATGCTAGGACACCAGGGTTTTACTGCCCCAGGCCACCCACTCCCTGATCCAAAGCCCACTGGAGTCAGTGGGAATCTTTCCACCAGCCTCAGTGACCCCTTGGATCGATCGCTCTGCTCTGTGCCAGAAGCAGCACCCACCGTTGCACTGCGCTGCTGGCTTGGTGAAGCGCTGCTCCCCAGAACTGGATGCAAACCCGGTATTGCAGGTGCAGAAGTGGCTTCCTGGGGTGTTGGTGCAGGTGGCGGACGCAGGGCACGATGCCAGATCCAGACACTCGTCGACATCTGTGACAGGGGAAGGAGCTATGGGTCCAGCTCTGCACAACGGAGCCTTCCCTTGATGGGAGGAGCAGGGGGAAAGACGGCAGGTCCCAGCAGCTGGCATCGGAGGGGGCACCGTGCCAGGAATATGGTTCCCAACAGGTTTGCAAAATCCTGCCCATTCCCAAGAGGCAGCGGGTGCTAGTGGCCTGAGAAGCGGGAGCCAGGATGCCTGGGTTCTCTCCTCAGCTTTGGGAGGAGAGTCAGGTTGGGTTGGAGCAAGGAGGGGCGGAGGGAGGGGGAGTCAGGATTCACATCCAGGAGTCTGGTCACCCTTTTTCAAGGAGAAGTGGACGGGGGTGATACCGCCTCCCCCAAAATCCTTTGGAACCGATAGCCCAGTGGGTAGGCACGCACCAGAGATACGGGACATGAAGGGTCAATTTCCACCTCTCTGCCTGATCTACAACCCTGGGTCTCCCAGTCTCCCTGGAGACAACCCTAACCACTAGGCTACACGGCTTGTATCTCTCAAGCTCTCCGGTTGGGGAACACAGTCATTGCAACCAGGGGCCTGGAACCTGGCTCTCCCCCTTGAGTATCTGGTCACAGCAGGTTGCCGGGCAGAGGCACCCAGGTCAGGTTCCTGTACCCACCATGGACTGGCTCCATCCCAGAGAGAGACCAGAGACTGTTCCCCTTGGTGCTTTAACACACAGCCAGCGACAGCTGGTCCCGGCTCTGGCCAGGTACGTTATGCACGGGGCCACCAGGTGCTGAATATGATAATACAGTTTAGCCGTCACCTGTGAGCTGGACAGACACTCTCTGGCCCCAGGAATATCAATGTCCCCCTACAGAAGCCCACCCTGACTGGGCAGAGAAGCTGTTTCAAACCAGGGTGGGGGCTCAGATTTTGTCCTTCTCGGGGGCAAGGGCTAGGGCGAGGGCCGGGGAAGGTTGCTTTGATGGTCACCTCTGCAGAGGGTTGTTCCGGGTACCCACGGCCCTGGCGTAGACCGACGGTGCCCTGGTGAGCACTGGCAGGTGTAGCTCCCAGGTGTGTTGAGGCAGGAGGCATTGGGCCCGCAGATTGCAGGGTTTCGGGCACATTCATCCACATCTACCAGGAGATAACTTGGAATTAGTCTGTGTGTTTATTACATGCATTATGGTACCACCTACAGGCCCCACTGCGCTAGGCGCTGCACAGTCAGAGAAGACCAAGTGCGGGAGGGGGACAGAGGCCAGGAGAGGGGCAGAGACTCCGTAGGTCAGGGCAGCGCCGGGACTGGATCTCCCGTCTCCTCATTCCCAGGCAGCCGCCCGACCCACTGAGCAAACCTTTTGAGCCAGCCGTGAAGACACAGCCAGCTTGCCCCAGCTCCCAGGGCTCTGGAGACAGTCACACTCCAGGGTGGGCAGCGGGAGCCGCTCAGACCCTCGCTCTCGTCTGTGGGACGACGGGAGAGCCGGCCTCAGCCTCCCACCCCCAGAGATCCACCCACAGCCCCCCCACGGGACGCTTACCTGTGCAGCTGAACGGGATGCCAGGCTGGCTGGGGGGGAGGTAGCCTGGGGGACACGTGCAGGCGTAACTGCCCAGGGTGTTGGTGCACACGGAGCTGGGCCCGCAGGGCGATGGGTCCTGGGAACATTCGTCAATATCTAGGGGAGGGAATCCACGTTGGACCTGAGCGATGCTAGGACACCAGGCTTTTACTGCCCCAGGCCACCCACTCCCTGATCCAAAGCCCACTGGAGTCAGTGGGAATCTTTCCACCAGCCTCAGTGGCCCCTTGGATCGATCGCTCTGCTCTGTGCCAGAAGCAGCACCCACCGTTGCACTGCGCTGCTGGCTGGGTGAAGCGCTGCTCCCCAGAACTGGATGCAAACCCGGTATTGCAGGTGCAGAAGTGGCTTCCTGGGGTGTTGGTGCAGGTGGCGGACGCAGGGCACGATGCCAGATCCAGACACTCGTCGACATCTGTGACAGGGGAAGGAGCTATGGGTCCAGCTCTGCACAACGGAGCCTTCCCTTGATGGGAGGAACAGGGGGAAAGACGGCAGGTCCCAGCAGCTGGCATCGGAGGGGGCACCGTGCCAGGAATATGGTTCCCAACAGGTTTGCAAAATGCTGCCCATTCCCAAGAGGCAGCGGGTGCTAGTGGCCTGAGAAGCGGGAGCCAGGATGCCTGGGTTCTCTCCTCAGCTTTGGGAGGAGAGTCAGGTTGGGTAGCTGGAGCAAGGCGAGGCGGAGGGAGGGGGAGTCAGGATTCACATCCAGGAGTCTGGTCACCCTTTTTCAAGGAGAAGTGGACGGGGGTGATATCGCCTCCCCCAAAATCCTTTGGAACCGATAGCCCAGTGGGTAGCGCGCGCACCAGAGATACGGGACACGAAGGGTCAATATCCCCCTCTCTGCCTGATCTACAACCCTGGGTCTCCCAGTCTCCCCGGAGAGAACCCGAACCACTAGGCTACACGGCTGGTATCTCTCAAGCTCTCCGGTTGGGGAACACAGTCATTGCAACCAGGGGCCTGGAACCTGGCTCTCCCCTTGAGTATCTGGTCACAGCAGGTTGCCAGGCAGAGGCACCCAGGTCAGGTTCCTGTACCCACCATGGACTGGCTCCATCCCAGAGAGACACCAGAGACTGTTCCCCTTGGTGCTTTAACACACAGCCAGAGAAAGCTGGTCCCGGCTCTGGCCAAGTACGTTATGCACGGGGCCACCCGGTGCTGAATATGATAATACAGTTTAGCCATCACCTGTGAGCTGGACAGACACTCTCTGGCCCCAGGAATATCTATGTCCCCCTAGAGAAGCCCACCCTGACTGGGCAGAGAAGCTGTTTCAAACCAGGGTGGGGGCTCAGATTTTGTCCTTCTCGGGGGCAAGGGCTAGGGTGAGAGGCCGGGGAAGGTTGCTTGGATGGCCACCTGTGCAGAGGGTTGTTCCGGGTACCCACGGCCCTGGCGTAGACCGACGGTGCCCTGGTGAGCACTGGCAGGTGTAGCTCCCAGGTGTGTTGAGGCAGGAGGCATTGGGCCCGCAGATTGCAGGGTTTCGGGCACATTCATCCACATCTGCCAGGAGATAACTTGGAATTAGTCAGTGTGTTTATTACATGCATTACGGTACCACCTACAGGCCCCACTGCGCTAGGCGCTGCACAGTCCAACAAGACCAAGTGCGGGAGGGGGACAGAGGCCAGGAGAGGGGCAGAGACTCCGTAGGTCAGGGCAGCGCCGGGACTGGATCTCCCGTCTCCTCATTCCCGGGCAGCCGCCCGACCCACTGAGCAAACCTGTTGAGCCAGCAGTAAAGACACAGCCAGCTTGCCCCAGCTCCCAGGGCTCTGGAGACAGTCGCACTCCAGGGTGGGCAGCGGGAGCCGCTCAGACCCTCGCTCTCGTCTGCGGGACGACCGGCAAGCCGGCCTCAGCCTCCCACCCCCAGAGATCCACCCACAGCCCCCCACGGGACGCTTACCTGTGCAGCTGAACGGGATGCCAGGCTGGCTGGGGGGGAGGTAGCCCGGGGGACACGTGCAGGCGTAACTGCCCAGGGTGTTGGTGCACACGGAGCTGGGCCCGCAGGGCGATGGGTCCCGGGAACATTCGTCAATATCTAGGGGAGGGAATCCACGTTGGACTGAGCGATGCTAGGACACCAGGGTTTTACTGCCCCAGGCCACCCACTCCCTGATCCAAAGCCCATTGGAGTCAGTGGGAATCTTTCCACCAGCCTCAGTGACCCCTTGGATCGATCGCTCTGCTCTGTGCCAGAAGCAGCACCCACCGTTGCACTGCGCTGCTGGCTCGGTGAAGCGCTGCTCCCCAGAACTGGATGCAAACCCGGTATTGCAGGTGCAGAAGTGGCTTCCTGGGGTGTTGGTGCAGGTGGCGGACGCAGGGCACGATGCCAGATCCAGACACTCGTCGATATCTGTGACAGGGGAAGGACATATGGGTCCAGCTCTGCACAACGGAGCCTTCCCTTGATGGGAGGAGCAGGGGGAAAGACGGCAGGTCCCAGCAGCTGGCATCGGAGGGGGCACCGTGCCAGGAATATGGTTCCCAACAGGTTTGCAAAATGCTGCCCATTCCCAAGAGGCAGCGGGTGCTAGTGGCCTGAGAAGCAGGAGCCAGGATGCCTGGGTTCTCTCCTCAGCTTTGGGAGGAGAGTCAGGTTGGGTGCAAGGAGGGGCGGAGGGAGGGGGAGTCAGGATTCACATCCAGGAGTCTGGTCACCCTTTTTCAAGGAGAAGTGGACGGGGGTGATACCGCCTCCCCCAAAATCCTTTGGAACCAATAGCCCAGTGGGTAGCACGCGCACCAGAGATACGGGACATGAAGGGTCAATTTCCACCTCTCTGCCTGATCTACAACCCTGGGTATCCCAGTCTCCCCGGAGAGAACCCCAACCACTAGGCTACACGGCTGGTATCTCTCAAGCTCTCCGGTTGGGGAACACAGTCATTGCAACCGGCGGCCTGGAACCTGGCTCTCCCCCTTGAGTATCTGGTCACAGCAGGTTGCCGGGCTGAGGCACCCAGGTCAGATTCCTGTACCCACCGTGGACTGGCTCCATCCCAGAGAGAGACCAGAGACTGTTCCCCTTGGTGCTTTAACACACAGCCAGCGACAGCTGGTCCCGGCTCTGGCCAGGTACGTTATGCACGGGGCCACCCGGTGCTGAATATGATAATACAGTTTAGCCATCACCTGTGAGCTGGACAGACACTCTCTGGCCCCAGGAATATCCATGTCTCCCTAGAGAAGCCCACCCTGACTGGGCAGAGAAGCTGTTTCAAACGAGGGTGGGGGCTCAGATTTTGTCCTTCTCGGGGGCAAGGGCTAGGGCGAGAGGCCGGGGAAGGTTGCTTGGATGGTCACCTGTGCAGAGGGTTGTTCCGGGTACCCACGGCCCTGGCGTAGACCGACGGTGCCCTGGTGAGCACTGGCAGGTGTAGCTCCCAGGTGTGTTGAGGCAGGAGGCATTGGGCCCGCAGATTGCAGGGTTTCGGGCACATTCATCCACATCTGCCAGGAGATAACTTGGAATTAGTCTGTGTGTTTATTACATGCATTACGGTACCACCTACAGGCCCCACTGTGCTAGGCGCTGCACAGTCCAACAAGACCAAGTGCGGGAGGGGGACAGAGGCCAGGAGAGGGGCAGAGACTCCGTAGGTCAGGGCAGCGCCGGGACTGGATCTCCCGTCTCCTCATTCCCGGGCAGCCGCCCGACCCACTGAGCAAACCTGTTGAGCCAGCAGTAAAGACACAGCCAGCTTGCCCCAGCTCCCAGGGCTCTGGAGACAATCGCACTCCAGGGTGGGCAGCGGGAGCCGCTCAGACCCTCGCTCTCGTCTGTGGGACGACGGGAGAGCCGGCCTCAGCCTCCCACCCCCAGAGATCCACCCACAGCCCCCCCACGGGACGCTTACCTGTGCAGCTGAACGGGATGCCAGGCTGGCTGGGGGGGGAGGTAGCCCGGGGGACACGTGCAGGCGTAACTGCCCAGTTTGTTGGTGCACACGGAGCTGGGGCCGCAGGGCGATGGGTCCTGGGAACATTCGTCAATATCTAGGGGAGGGAATCCACGTTGGACTGAGCGATGCTACGACACCAGGCTTTTACTGCCCCAGGCCACCCACTCCCTGATCCAAAGCCCATTGGAGTCAGTGAGAATCTTTCCACCAGCCTCAGTGGCCCCTTGGATCGATCGCTCTGCTCTGTGCCAGAACTGGCTCAGACCACGACCTATCTAGCCTGGAGTCCTGCTTTCAGCAGTGGCTGGTACTAGATGCTTTTGACGATCATTTCAGGTGTTCTCATTATTTATATCACACTCTAATCCTTCTTCAAAACCTGATAAATTTGCAGCCTCCATGGGATACGGTGGCAGGGAGTTTCACAGGTTAATACTGCATCATGTAAAAAGAAAAACAGTTTTCTTTTATCCATTTTAGGGGCTGGATTGTGAGTGCCCGGATATGGGTGCATAGGAGGAGGGAGCTCACAAGGAACCTCCCTGCGGGCCTCTGCAAGGATCATGCTTTCCTCCATATTCCTCCTGGTGGATCATGGTGTCCCAAAAGTGTGTGGGAAGGAGGTGGGGCCATTATATGCTCCTCCCCTCCATGCAAGGAATGGAATCGGGGCTGGAGGGGACTCTTTCTACACCCTGGGCTGCTCCGGGAGGAATTCAGCCACCATCCCCATGCCACCCTGCCCTGCTCCAGGGCTGCGTGCAGACTGCATTATGGCTTTTCCATTTTATTGGCTGTCCCATGGTTTGGGGAGGGACAGATTGACAGGCGGGGGAAGCCAAGTCACTGAATCTCCTTGGCCACATATATCCCTTCCTTGCTTTCTTAGTCACTGCATCATGCTTTCTAGTCAGCGAAGTACTCCATACCGAACCTTCCCTGCAAATGGAAGAGGCACTCCCGGTGACACTCGTGCAAGCTACATAACAGTGTCCCCAATGCACGGCTCCCCTTCTCCGAGCTCCCACTCACCGTTGCACTTCACTTTTCGATCAGTGAAGTACTGCTCCCCAGAGCTAGATGCAAACCCACGTTTGCAGGCGCAGCGGTGGCTCCCAGGGATGTTTTCACAGGTTGCAAAAGCCGGACAGACAGATGAAGCTGCACACGCATCAGCTGGGAAATGACGAAGAAACAATTTAATGAATTAATAAGCCTTTGCACCCTTTGTCTTACATCTTCAATGTGCTTCAATGTGCACTTAGGACGGAAGAACCCAATGCACCGCTACAGAGTAGGGACCGAATGGCTAGGCAGCAGTTCTGCGGAAAAGGACCTGGGGTGACAGTGGACGAGAAGCTGGATATGAGTCAGCAGTGTGCCCTTGTTGCCAAGAAGGACAATGGCATTTTGGGATGTATAAGTAGGGGCATTGCCAGCAGATCGAGGGACGTGATCGTCCCCCTCTATTCGACATTGGTGAGGCCTCATCTGGAGTACTGTGTCCAGTTTTGGGCCCCACACTACAAAAAGGATGTGGATAAATTGGAGAGAGACCAGCGGAGGGCAACAAAAATGATTAGGGGACTGGAACACATGACTTATGAGAAGAGGCTGAGGGGACTGGGATTGTTTAGTCTGCAGAAGAGAAGAATGAGGGGGGATTTGATAGCTGCTTTCAACTACCTGAGAGGTGGTTCCAGAGAGGATGGTTCTAGACTATTCTCAGTGGTAGAAGAGGACAGGACAAGGAGTAATGGTCTCAAGTTGCAGTGGGGGAGGTTTAGGTTGGATATTAGGAAAAACTTTTTCACTAGGAGGGTGGTGAAACACTGGAATGCGTTACCTAGGGAGGTGGTAGAATCTCCTTCCTTAGAAGTTTTTAAGGTCAGGCTTGACAAAGCCCTGGCTAGGATGATTTAATTGGGGATTGGTCCTGCTTTGAGCAGGGGGTTGGACTAGATGACCTCCTGAGGTCCCTTCCAACCCTGATATTCTATGATTCTAGATTCATATTCATTCTTTAAGCCGACCGCACATGAGGAAGAGTGGGCCTAGTAGAATAGGTGGGTGGGGAGGTAGGATCAAGGCAGCTGGGCTCGCTTCTGAAGGCATCTGATGAAGAAGCAAGGACAGGCCTCCAGCCCCCTCCCCTGACACCAGGAAAGGAAAAGCCAGAGGTGGGGAGCGTAGGAACGGACGCTGCGTTTCGAGGGAGCTGATCCTCCGATATCACTGCGAGGGGAGGGGCTATTATACCCATTTTTCAGATGGGGAATTGAGGCCCCGAGAGAGTAAGGTCCAAAGCAGTAATTCGGGGAACTGCATTTGAGGCACACGGGACCTGCTGGCTCAGCGTCCGTAGCCTTCTGTAGCCTGTTGCATGTGCAGAGCCCAGCTCCCCTTGATCTCACTCGCAGCCGTGAGTGCTCAGCCCATCTGAAGATCAGGCCCCGGGGCCTCAAGTCAACACACAGCTAGTGACTTGCCCAGCACTACACCGGAAGTCTGGGGGCCTGCAGATAACAAATCCCCTCCTTACCCAGCCCTGACTCGCCCCCAGAGCAGATCTAGCCCTGCACTGAATGTGGCCATGTAATGAAAGCCTATGGCATAATGCACACGCACAAGAGGAGAGAGAACACTTGTCTTCTGGCATTTCCTCACTTCTGAGTGGTTATCTGGCAACCTTTAGAACAGTGGTCCCCACACTGTGGGGTGCGCCCCCTAGGAGGGCACGGGGGAACGTTTGGGGGGCCAGCTCTGCACCCGGCCGCAGCGCCAGCCTCGGCCCCCTTACTCCTGTCCGTGTACCCCCTCACCCCGGGAGCCGCCGCCTTCCTCCGGCTGCTGGAGGGGAGGTGGGGTGGACATGGGTGAGAGAGGGACATGACGCTGAAAAGTTTGGGGACCACTGCTTGAGAATGGTCTTTTAACAAAGGCGTTTTTGGTGCATGTATTTTCCTAGGTTTTTTCCAAAAGCAAACTGAAAAAACCCATCACGTGGTATCGTACGAAGAGCCACATGGGTCAGCAGCCGAGCTGGACCCTTAACATCCATTGCACAGGCCTCAGGCACTTGAGCTGAGGGAGAAACCAAGAGCCGCAGCAGCTTGTCAATATCTATGCGAGGGAGGGGGCACTTTGCCGGGGAGTTCCCCAGATCCCTGCTGACAGCAGAGGAATGGGGAGACTCTGCAATCTTGGCCTCCATTCCAGGCTCTGGAGGGAGCATGGTCTAGTGGGTGCAGACCCATCCGCCCATTCCCCCAAGCTCGGCTCCTTCCACCCCATCCCCTCCAATCTGTCCTTGTTGCAGTTCTGTCTTTTCCCCAGTTCTGGCTCCTTGGCCCCATCCCATTCTGCACTCCTCAGGTTTCTCATCCCAGTCCCCATCTCCTTGCCCAGCCTGTCCCAGTCTCCTCCCCATGCCTGATCCCCCCTCCAGGGTGGATTTGATTTAAATCAGGGTGAGGGTGGGGAGAACTCCTCCTACACCTTGGATTAAGACCACAAGAACAGCCAGACTGGGTCAGACCAATGGTCCATCTAGCCCAGTACCCTGTCTTCCAACAGTTGCCGGTGCCAGGTGCTTCAGAGGGAATGACGAGAACAGGGCAGTGACCGAGTGATCCACTCGCTCTCCAGTCCCAGTTGGCCGCAGTCTGGGTTGCTCAGCTTCCCCACCCACGGCTGTGTGCAGTTTCCACCGTCTAACTTCCATTGCTCTTTTCCAGTGTGACTGGCCGTTCCTGGGGTTGCTGATGGCCAGATTGCGGGAAGTCAAGTCATTAAATCTCCTTTGCCATGTATTGGCCTAGCCTGGCTCTCTTAGTCACCGCATCGTGCTTTCCAGTCCCCGATACTCTTTTCTCTAGTACCTGAGGTATTATCTTCATCACACGATCCAGAGCTACGCCATGGCAGTCTCCCCAGTACAGAGCTCCCCGTCCCTTAGCTCTAGGGCTCACACTCACCATTGCAGCGGACGGCTGGATCGGTGAACTCCGTGGCCCCCGAAGTGGATACAAACCCACGTTGGCAGGTGCAGTAGTAGCCCTGACGAGCATTGATGCACGTTGCATAATCAGGGCACAGCATTGGATCGTCGCACCTGTTCACTGGGAAATGAAGAAGGAACCAGGGCTGGGCATTGAATTAAAGCGCAGCCCTGTTTAGCTGCCAGCGGAGAAGGTGGCTTTGTGGCAAGCAGGGACACAGCGCAAGAGAGCAGAAGGGAATGAAAAAGAAAATACACAGAAAGGTGGGGAAAGGGGAGGAGGAAATGGGATGGAAAGTTCTTTGCCCGTTCAAAGCCCCCCTCCAGCTGCAGGACACTCCGGGGTTCAGATCTGGAGATTTTGTGCAGGTTTCTAGGCATTAACTTACCAGCGCTGGAGAAATGCTGAGTCCCCTTGAAGCAGATGAGCCAGCAAAAGCCTGAAAGAGGAGAAACAACCAAGGAGGCTCTTATTTCACTGGATTTTAGTGCTGTTACCCAGTAAGAGGGTGGGTGGCCTAGTGGGTAGAGCAGTGGGTCTCAGGGAAGGGTGGTTGGTTGGTTCTCTTCCTGGCTTTGCTAGTTGACCTCAGCCAAGTTGCTCGTCCTCTCTGTTTCCCCTGGGTCTGGCTTTTCCATTTTGATTATAAACTCTTCAGAGCAGCCTCTGTCTTCACATTGCTGATCGTAGCTGAGACCCCTAAGCACGACTGGAACGTAACCTATCAGAGTAACAGGTTTTCGATGGGCCAGATCCCAAGGTATTCAACTCAGGAACCAATCCCGGGGCGGTGTAAATCAGCGTGGCACTCTTGACTGCCGTGAGCAGCTGAGGATCTGGCCCTCAGACCCAGCCGGAGTTTAGCCTGAGTAAGCACCACGAAAGGATACACGAGTTCAGCTCATTCTGTGGGCCCCTTCACGAGAGAGAAGTTCGCAGGCACTCGCTCCTCCCACTGTTCCAGTGTCCCCGCTGCTTGGCGATGTAACCTCGAAAGCGGTGCTCGCTACCCAACTCCAGGGACAGCTGAGCCCCCAGAGGTTCAGAAACGTCCCTTGGCAGGGACAACCAGAAGCCCGGCGGCTCAATCTAAACCCCTCTGGAGCTGGGAAGGCAGGTGGAAACCTCAGACGATTCCTGCTGTCACTTGCACTGAAGACTGCCCCCGCACAAAGGGATTATTTTGACGCTCTCTCCTCTGACCGGGAACTCAGAGAGGCCGAGGCATGTGGGGCCATTTGATTTAAAAAAGAAAAGGGACCAAACTTTCAAAAAAACCCATTGGCCTGATCCTCATTTCCCCCACAAAGGGCCGTGCCGGGCACAATACGAGCAGAGGAACTTGGCATTTGCAGCTTCCATTTTGGATCCAAGCGTGGGCGCCAGGTTTGTATAATTTTTGGTGGTGCCCAGAACGTCCATTGGACAGACGACTAGTCCCATTGGGAGGCTGATCCAGAACCTCCCTCCTCTGCCAGTTAAAAACCTTCTTGTATTTTCTAGCCTGAACCTTCCCAGCCCCCTTGGAATGGGGGTGGGGCAGGGCGGGGCAGGCTGGGGCTGGGTCACTCACTGCTGCCCGCGCCGGGATCTCTGCTAACCCCCCAGGCCGGCCTGGACCCCGCGTCCCCTTGATGCACGGGACCCCCCAAAGCGCGGTAAGCCCAAACATTGGTGGAGCGGGCCCCGTTCCTAAATATTGATGGAGCACGGGCACCATGGGCCCATATAACTCGCCGCCTATGGATCCAAGGGGGCTGGGAAGTTGCAGGCTAGAAAATACAAGAAGGTTTTTAGCTGGCAGAGGAGGGAGGTTCTGGATCAGCCTCCCAATGGCTCTAGTGGTGTAAGGTGCGGCTGGATACATTTATACACAGGGTTATATGGCAGGATTGTGTGTGATCGCGGGGGACTGGACCGCTGCAAACCATCCCTTCCCCTGACCCAAGGGGTTCCCTTGACTTCCCCTCACTTCCCCCAGACCTCTGCTCCCTGCAATTCTCCAGCCAACCCCAGCTGAGCCACTCACTGGGTTTTATAACCACCTGATCCCCAGCTGCTCAGTCTCAGGTGAGGCTGGGCCCTGCCGCCCCCGGATTCTCCCCTCTCCCATCTTTATCTTCCACGAACAGTTTGAATCTCGGCTGGCTTGCTTGGAAAGCTCTTACCTCTCTCACCCCTGGGTGTCAGGCACCCCCTTGCTTCCCCCACCCTCAGCTTTGCGGAGAGAATCTTGGCCGCTCGGAGAGAAAACGCAGGGTGGAAATTGGGGGGGCCACCGTTTGTGGGGGCTGGGCAACGACCAAAGATCTGACGTCACAGCAAATCCTATATACGGCATGTTATGATGTTACTGCGTGTTATATTTGATTGCTGGGGGCAGGATTGGAAGGGGGCTGGGGGCAGGGCAAGGATTTGAGTGCAGGGAGCCGGGAGGCTGGGCTGGCCAGTGGAGAGGGTCGATTCCCACAACCACATAGGCAGGCATGGGTTAACCCGGGGGGCCAATTGGCACCTGTGTGGGGGCAGCAGCTGGCCTGCCTGCACCGCTCCCTGCTGGCTGTGTTGCTCCTCAGACAGGCCAAGAGCCTTCAGCCAGGAGCTCCTGATCCACACCCATGCCGCTCTCAGCTTCTGCATTCACAGGCTCGGATCTGGGTGGACCGAGGTGCTAACTGGGTGTGGCGGGGTCCACCTCTGGCTATGCCCCAGACTGGACTGAGTGACCTAGGAGGTCCCTTCCAGCCCTCTGCCCTGAAGCAGCCTCACTGACTTGACCCTCCATTCATTACCGGGTGCTTCAAGTAGCATTGTAAGTCACCACCAGGCTCTGTGGGCGGGTCTGCTCTCGGGTACACCCGTCTACAGTCCTGGCACTGAGATGAACGGGGGTCTTACAGTTAAGGCCCAGGGACCCAGCTCATCAAAAGCACTTAGGCCTGCTTGGCTGCGCTCGGCACCCATACTGGTGACACTCCCAGTGGCCAAGGACTACGCCGGTGCTCAGCTGAGACTGGTGATTTGCTTCTCCACATTAACAAACAAATACCTTATGCCTAGAAAGCCATGAGCACAACCCCTCTCGCTTGTGTCACTCTTATCTGTCCTCCGGCCCCACCCTTCCGCTCAGTTCCCTTTACCCACCTTCTCTTAAGATAAGGCCCTGATCCTCCAATGATCTTCACCCAAGCAGCTCCCCCATGCCTGTTAAAGTCAGGGGGACTCTGTAGGGGGCTCCTTGCAGAATCAGGGCTTAAAGAGACTAAGAATTTTAGGGCAGGAAGTGTCTTTTGCTATTTAGCTACACACAGCACCTAGCTATTTAGCTACACACAGGGCCGTGACAATAACCTTAATATATTATTGATTAACAACAGCCACCCAAGACCAATCATTCATAATCAATGTGCAACAATTAATAACAAACCACTAATAATCATGTCCACACACTGCAAACACCAATGAATCCTTCATTATTAGCCATTTGTGATTAATAATAAAAACACCCAAGGATACCCAGCGTGGCCAGCCACCGGTGTATTAATAGATCTGGAGGCAACTGTGAACATCTAATCTGACTTCCTGTGTGATACAGGCTATAGAACTTCCCTGAATTAATTCTTGTTTGAACAAGAGCAGATCTTTTAGAAAAACATCCAACCTTGATTTAAAGATTTCTAGTGCTGGAGAATCCACCATGACCCTTGGCAGGTTGCTCCGATGGTTAATTGGCCTCACTGTTAAAAATTGTACCTTATGTCAGGATGAATTTGTCTAGCTTCAACTTCCAGCCATTGGATCCTGTTAGACCTTTGTCCGCTAGACTGAAAAGCCCATGATCAAATATTTATTTCCCATGTCAGTACTTATAGACTGGGATCAGGTCACCCTTTAACCTTCTCTTTGTTAAGCTAAATAGATTGTGCTCCTGAGTCTATCACTATAAGACAAGTTTTCCAATCTTTTAATCATGCTCGTGATTCTTCTCTGAACCCTTTCCAATTTTTTCGACACCCTTCTTGAATTGTGGACCCCAAAACTGGACACAGGATTCCAGCAGGGGTCACACCAGGGCCAAATACAGAGTAAAATAACCTCTCTCTCCAACTGGAGATTCCCCTCTTCATGCATCCCAGTACCACATTAGCCCTTTTAGTCACAGGTCACACTGAGACCTCATGTTCTGCTGATTATCCACCATGACCCCCAAATCTTTGTCTGAGTCATTGCTTCTCCCCATGCTGTAAGTATGGCCGACATTCTTTGTTTATAGATGTGCGTCCATATATTTGACCACACCAAAATGCATATTTTCTGATTGCACCCAGCTTACCGAGGGATCCAGATCTCTCTGTATCCATGACCTGTCCTCTTCCTTACTACCACTTCCCCAATCCGCATGTCTTTTGCTGACTTTCTCAGTAACGATTCTACGTGTCTCTCCGGGTCATTGATCAAATTAGCATTTATATGAAAAGTCACAGATCTGGGCTGAATGCCCATCACTGAAAGACCCTACGACCCCTCAAAGATCCCAATACAATGACAATTATTGTTGCCCTTTTTCAGCCCAAGCGGCTAGTTGAAGTTCTGGGCCCTGGGCATGTTCCAACTGGGAGTAGAAACTGATGATGGAGTCTGGTATTTCCTTTGTTCCAATCTGGTTTAGTTACAAGTCCAGCTTCTCCAAATGCAGGAGGGACCAAAAACCAGGGATAGCTTCTTTTCCTAAAAAAACCAACAACGAGGAGTCCTTGTGGCATCTTAGAGACTACCAAATGTATTTGGGCATAAGCTTTCATGGACTAAAACCCACTTCATCAGATGTTTTAGCCCACGGAAGCTTATGCCCAAATAAATGTGTTCGTCTCTAAGGTGCCACAAGGGCTCCTCGTTGTTTTCGCTGATACAGACTAACACGGCTACCACTCTGTAACCTTCTTTTCTTACAGTCGCAAGCCTCTTTAGCCATCACCAAACCCCAAATCTCTCTCTGGTCTTCTCCCAGAGTCATTCAAACCCGTGTCTACAGCTCCTGTTTGGCTTTCTTCCTCTTTCTCTGAGTCTCTCCCAGTTTCTTGGCTGCCACTCCCCCTGCAGCTAGGCTAATTCCATGCCTAACATTAACGTACACACACACCTGGTCAGAATAATACCCAGATGGCACCCTCTGCCCACATAGTGCTAGTTTCTGGGCAGATTCCATCCTGCCTTGTTTTAGGCTGGCCCCCCTAAAGGTTCTCTTACAATTACCGTCACACATCTATTTCCATGAGCTTTTAACTCAACCGGTAACAAGGATTGATTGCACTCACGAGCCTCAATCATGGATTGGGCCCCCCGCAGTACTAGGTGCTGTATAAACACAGAACAAAAAACCGTCCCTGCCCCAAAGAGCTTCAGTTAAGTTTGTTTGTTTTTTGCCAAGCCCCCATTGGAAGAAAATAACACAATTCCTTACAAACTTACCTACAAGGTGGGTGATAAGCTGCTTCTTCATTATGCCACTGCCTTCTCTTACGAGACAAGAAAACTGCCCTACTTTGTCCTGTTGTGATCTTTCTCAGAGGAAGTTTGCTGAATGACACAGATTTTACTGGGGCTTCTTTTCTGGAGGCTTTAGCTCAGCGCCCCTTATTTTGTGACATTTCTTCTTCCTCTGCGCAGGACGGTCTCTGGGCATCTACTATGTGTTTATTATCAGTGTACCCAAATAACACCCCTGCAATGGACAGGAAACAACAGGGGAAGTTGCAATTTTATCTATTCAGGAACTGAAAGTGGGACATGGAGGGTGGGGGGAGTTGGTCTTATTATAGCATCATAGAATATCAGGGTTGGAAGAGACCTCAGGAGGTCATCTAGTCCAATCCCCTGCTCAAAGCAGGACCAACACCAACTAAATCATCCCAGCCAGGGCTTTGTCAAGCCAGGCCTTAAAAACTTCTATGGATGGAGATTCCACCACCTCCCTAGGTAACCCATTCCAGTGCTTCACCATCCTCCTAGTGAAATAGTGTTTCCTAATATCCAGCATAGACCTCCCCCACAGCAACTTGAGGCCATTGCTTCTTGTTCTGTCATCTGCGACCACTGAGAACAGTCAAGCTCCATCCTCTTTGGAACCCCCTTCAGGTAGTTGAAGACTGCTATCAAATCCCCCCTCACTCTTCTCTGCTGCAGACTAAACAAGCCCAGTCCCCTCTCTGGCATTGCACTCCATAATGTTTTATGGAAATATGCTTATGAGTGTGAATATAATGTAACTGGAATATGCTTCATGCAAAAGGTCTCTTGAAAGGTATTATTACAATGCTTATAATATACTGAGTGTGGTCATCCTATTTGTATGTATTTATCATTCTTGTATCTAAAACTAGAAATATAAAGTATAACTCTGAGGTCTTATTGTAATTATGTGGGCCATTAATGGTGGCTTAGAATCTTGATGGCTCCCAGTGACTAGGACAATTGGTTGTAAATGTTTATTTACCTGCATGCCTTCCTGTGTACCTGACATGGGTAATGAAGAATGAGGTCTCACAGGACATGTGACAAGGTCACATGACACTGGAACCTATCTTAAACCTGGTGCTTTTCCATTTAGAAGGAGGGGTGGGGATCCAGGGAGACAAAAGATTCCCGCCTTGTGCTAAAGCTATATAAGGGGGTGGAACAGAACAAAGGGGGTCCCAGTCATGAGAACACCCCTGTTTTCCACCTAAGATGTCTGCTGGAACTAACAAGGGCTGTACCGGGGAAAGGATTGGGTCTAGACTAGGAAGGAGTATGGTCTGTGAAAGAAGCTCTCAGGGTTCCCTCCCCACTCTGAACTCTGGGGTACAGATGTGGGGACCCACTTGAAAGACCCCTTAAGCTTATTTCTACCAGCTTAGGTTAAAAACTTCCCCAAGGCACAAATCCTTTCCTTGTCCTTGGACAGTATTGCTGCCACCACCAGGTGATTCACACAAAAATTCAGGAAAAGCGTCACTTGGAGTCCCTGTTTCCCCAAAATATTCCCCCAAGCCCCTTCACCCCCTTTCCTGGGGAGGCTTGAGAATAATATACTAACCAATTGGTTAAAATGTGAGCATAGATCAAACCGCTGGGTTTTTAGGACACTAAAAATCAATCAGGTTCTTAAAAGAAGAATTTTATTTATAAAAGAAAAGAGAATCACACCTGCAAAATCAGGATGGAAGATAAATTTACAGGGTAAATAAAAGATTTAAAACACAGAATATTCCCCTCTGACTCTGCTTCCCAGTTACAAAATAGGAATGAAATTACCTCTTAGCATAGGGAAAATTCACAAGCTAAAACAAAAGATAATCTAACGCATTTCCTTGCCCTTACTTACAATTTTTGTAATCTTATATGGAGCATTTCAAGTATATTTTCAGGAGATGTTTTACCTGTCTGGTCTCTCTCTCCATCCAGAGGGGCAACAAACAAAGAGAGCACAAAAAAAACCCTCTCCCCCCGCCCGCCCTCAGATTTGAAAGTATCTTCTTTCCTTATTGGTCCTTTTGGTCAGGTGCCAACCAGGTTATCCGAGCTTCTTAACCCCTAACAGGTAAAGTGATTCAGTACATCTGGCCAGGAGGGATTTTATGTTACTGCATACATAGAGGTTGTTAGCCTTCTCTTTATATTTATGACAGAAGCTTATTGGAACATCTCTGAGGGTGAGATTTTACCAGTAATCAGTTTCTTAATGTGTTAGGCTTAGACTTGCGTGTTTTTGCTTTATTTTACTTGGTGACTTACTTTGTTCTGTCTGTTATTACTTGAAAACACTTAAATCCTGCTTTTTATACTTAACGCAATCACTTTTGTTTATTGATAAACCCAGAGTAAGTGATTAATGCCTGGAGCTGTTTATATCTCTCTATCAGTGTTACAGAGGGCGGACAATTTATGAGTTTACCCTGTATAAGCTTTATACATAATAAAATGGATTTATTTGGAGTTTGGATCCCACTGGGAACTGGGTGTCTGGGTGCTGGAAGCAGGTAACCTGCTAAGCTGTTTTCAGTTAAGCCTGCAGCTTTGGGGCCGTGGACCAGACCCTGGGTCTGTGTTGCAGCAGGCTAGTGTGTCTGGCTCAAAAAGGCAGGGTTCTGGAGTCCCAAGCTGGCAGGGAAAACGGGCTCAGAGGTAACTTCAGCAAGTCAGGTGACAGTCCCAAGGGGGTCTCTGGGACCAAACCCATCACACCCTCAGCCTCTCCTCGTAAGTCATGTGCCCCAGCCCCCTGGTCATTTTCGCTGCCCTCCGCTGGACTCTCTCCAATTTGTCCACATCCTTTCTGCAGTGGGGGGCCCAAAGCTGGAAGCAATTCTCCAGATGTGGCCTCACCAGTGCCGAATAGAGGGGAATAAGCACTTCCCTCGATCTGCTGGCAATGCTCCGGATAATGCAGCCCAATATGCTGTTAGTCTTCTTGGCAACAAGGGCACACTGCTGACTCATATCCAGCTTCTTGTCCACTGTAATCCCCAGGTCCTTTTCTGCAGGACTGCTGCTTAGCCAGTCAGTCGCCAGCCTGTACTGGTTCATGGGATTCTTCCATCCTAAATGCAGGACTCTGCACTTGTCCTTGTTGAACCTCATCAGATTTCTTTTGGCCCAATCCTCCTTGTATGGGTCTAGAACTCCTGGGTCTCTTCCTAGCTCAAGATCTAATGGGTAGAACAGGAAGCTGGAATTTGGACATCTGGGTTCTCTTCCCAGGGCAGTGTTATCTAGTAGCTAAAGCGTGTGAGTAGGAGTCAAGATTCCTGGCAGAGGACGTTCATAATTTCAAACTTTGTTTTCACGGAAACCCGAAACTTTCAAAATTCTCTGTGAAAAAAATTTCAGGGGGGAAAAATCATTTGGGGGGTAGATGAAAATGTTTCATCTTGACGAAGGTTTTTCATTTCAATTGCTGCTTCGACAATGTTATCTCGCATTACAACACGCACCCACCGTAACACGAAATACAAATTTCAAAAAGTGAAGCCATTTTGAAAAGAAAACGTGAACTGTTTGGCTCTGAAAATGTTAAAAATGAGACATTTTATCCTAAGACAAAATTTCGGTGAATCCAAATGTTTCCATTTTGAGGGAACCATAGTCTCCAATGGAAAAGGGGTCAGTTGAAGTTCTTCCATTCAATTCATCTCTTGGGTTCTATCTTCAGCTCAGAGGGGGAGGCTGGGAGTTAGGACTCCTGGGATCTCTTCCCAGTTCTAGGAGGAGCGTATTACCTAGTGGTGAGAGCACAGGATTGAGAGTCAGGGACAGAACCCAGAAGTCCTGGCTCTGGGAATATACTCTATTATGTGCATGTCTCTTGGGGCGTGTTCCTAACTTTGAGAACATGGTCTAGAGGTCTGAGTACTTGCCTGGGAATCCAGTGGTTTGCTTGCTAGTCCCATCTCAGCCATTGACTTGCTGTGTATCGTGGTCAAGTCACCGCTGCTCCGTGCCTCAGTTTCCCCAGCTGTGAAATGGGGCAATGATACTAAAGAAAAGTGTTTTGATATCTTTGGTTGAAATGTGCCAATGTAACTGCCACGTAGTGTTACTGGGGGTATTTTCTTGCCTGAGTAAAGAGAAGGTTTTTGTGGATGTAGCCAGAGCTAAGGGAAACAGGATAATAATGTACAAGGGAGGGCATACTGCTAAGAGATCCTGGTGCTGTAAAGTTATGTGCTCAGGGGGTGGAGTACTGCCCTGGGAAGGGGAGGCTGAGTGGAATTGTAACCCAGAAGTCTGTGGTCGTATTTCATTCAGGATGTTTTTCATCATCGGTGCTTATTTCTGAGGCTGCTTTCTCAACAGCAGAGCCCATAAATCAGTAGACACTGTTCCCAACTGCTTACAACATGCCTAGTCCAGGGGATTTCTCCACACAGATGACGCCTGAGATGCGAGCTCTCCGTGCCCAGGAGGGCTGGACAGAGTGCTGAGTAGGGAGAGCTCAAGGAAAGCTTTGTGGGGCTGCAAGAGGGCAGGTGACAGGATGATGAGGGCAGTCCCTGGAGACATACATACAGCTAGGTAGATGTCTGTTGCCACTGGCTCAGCCGTCCGGCCTGCAGAGGGGTTCAGATCTGGAAGCCAGGTCGGGCCCTCCATGCTTCCCTGGGGCACACGGTTGTCCCGGTTTTCCTCTGCTGTTCTGCCGGGAGCTCTGAGATTCACAGGAACGTGGAGGGGGGAACCAATTCTGAGACCGCCCCGTCTGCAAAGCCGGGAGGGGACTGGGATGCCGTCACTGGTGGAGTAACAAGCTGAGCCATGCCTGGGCGACTGGGGAAACTGACCAACCGCGGGGCGTTTCTCTTGGGAAAAGTGCTGAGTCAGTCACGGGCAGAGCGTTTCCTCAGAGCCGCTCTCAGAGAAGGGGAATAGAAAGGCACATGTGTGGGTGGTGGCTCAACCGCAGCCTCGAGACTGAGGAGACTTGGATTCATTTCCTGGCACTGCTGCGTGACCTTTGGTGTGTCTGTGCCTCGGTTTCCCCATCTGTAAAATGGGGGCTAATGAGGCTGACTTCCTTTGATATAAAAAGTGCCGTGTGCATGCTTGGCATTATCAATGCTGGTTAATAGTAATTCCTGTAGCAGCAGTGCCAGCTTTCCCTCGGAGCTGCCCTGTGCCTGGCATGGAGATGCCTGTG